CATCCAGCCGTGTCCCCCCACCCCAGCTGTCCCCCTTCCCCGGGGCCTGCTGCCACCCCCGCCCCGATGCAGAAGGCATCCTGGGAGCGGCTGCGAACCGCAGAGGACGGTACAGAAGGTGGATGAGATTCCCCTTGTAACGGTACTTTAAAAAGAGGAGTTTCTTTTAAAGTTGTGGGGGACTGCACACGACACAAACGAAACAAAACCAGCCCCAAAGCTGGCAACACTTTTGAATATAAGGGTATTTTGGAAGCCGCAGGTATTGACAAGAATGGCTTAAAATGAAAATTACTGCTTCATAGAAAGTACTCTTAGGACACAAAATTAGGAATTTGAGGTATGAAACGATTTGTGACACAGCTGGTATGTAAAATGAAACCATCAAACGTCTTGTCATAATCAAATATTCCCTAAATCTGGACTAGCAACATTGCTTTTGAAAGATGTCGTTCCATATAAATGCCTTTAACGCCTGGTAGAAAATTCTTATGAACATGTTGACAAATGAAATAACCCGGATTATTTGATTAGTGTCCATGTAATCTGAATATTGGCTTGTATTGGGAAAAGAAACGTCAACCCTTTAATGCTTTTGAAAGGACGGGTTTTCGCTGCAATTAAAGAGTAATCTTATACCAATCACACTCTACGTGTTCTGTGCTACAGGGATTCAGGAGGATGAAGTCAAGAATTTATGTTTTCTTTTAAAATTCAGCTCAGGCAGAATGAACAGCATTAAAGAACATAACGGGGGCTTGGTAGCTGACCCAGCTCTGTGGGAAGATCTGCATCCTACCACCCTCTCAGGGCCGGGTTCATGTTTCCACACTTCTTCGGAAACACTTGCTGATTTGGGGTGTCGAAGTCAGGAAACCGAGATGCACAATTCCCACCACACTTCATGTCGCAAGAGAATATATTTTTGCAGCCCTTATGCAAATAGCTCCAGAGGCGTAGGGACGGACAATTAGGCATTGTCACCTGCCTTACGGAGCTTGAAACACCGTGAGACGGTGCGCGGCAGTAACCTGTATGCCAGAGTAAGATCCGCATCTTACGGTCAGCTCAGCTGATGGTTGGGTCGATTTTCCTCCGGACAATACGGGAACAGATGACCCCGGGCGCCCGGGTCATCGGCAGCCCCGAGGCTGTGCCCCCGGTCCGACTTCGGCTTCGGCTGCGCCCCCGGCCACACGCGTCCGCCCTTCCCTGGACAAAAACACTGACCCCGCACACACCTCGCTCCGGTTTCGGACCTGTCAGGCTTGCCCGGTGTATTTGACAGCTGGCGGGTCTTACGCGGATGGGAAAACCTGTTTTGTTGAATATAGGAGGCTGTGGCGGCGGGAAGGGCTCTGCAAAGAAAACTCGCAGCCCCCACCGTGCCCGACCCTGCTCGCAGGGGCTGGCCGAGCGGGGATGGGGCGCCAGCCGAGCGCTGGCCCCACGTTCCCGTGTTTTTCGGTTCTGCACCAACCGTGGCAGTCGCCAGCCAGCACTAATGGTGGCAGTGTCATGGCTTTCGCGTACGCACAACGAGCCTTAAAACTTGTCCCCCTCGCCGGGACAGCGTATTCTTTGGAGAAGGCAGG